GAGGTGAAAACAATATTCATTAACTCTCATTGCTTTAATTTCTTCAGTTCTGAAAGGTACAAGTTTGTTCTTGATTTGTTGCTCGCTGTGACTTTCGGTCAGGAAATCCCTCACCTTGCCTTGCCTTTCCTTCCTTTCCCTTCCCTCTGTTCACACACAATTAGACTTAACGATGTCTTGCATGATTCAGGCCTGATCTGTTTCAAATTTGTTTAAAAATTGAAGGGGACTGGGAAAAATCCACTGGAGGTATGAAAGATGTAACACTCCACTGTACATGCTATTAGACTCACATATTGCAAGCTTTATTTTTTATTGCCAGAAGTCCCCACTTAGGAATCGTTTGAAATGGACTGTTATTTTTATGATAACCTCAGCAAACTGCTCACATTCTAAAATTTATTGCTAAACATGTTAAATAAAGTTCAATAACTGGAAGGTTATAATCACCAAGGGAGAAATGATGCACTGATAATAATGTTAAATGATTCTAATGTGACTGTTTTCTTCTGTGGTGTCTCATTCATTCCATTTTGGCAATACAGTAAACAAGCTGCTCTTATAGACAGGGAAAAATAAAATGTCATCAATTTCAAGTGAGCAGCTGCTGGTAGACTTTATAAGACAAAAAAAGAGAGAAAGTTCTGAGATCCCAGGATCTACTTATATGTGATGAGTTCAGCTCAGAGACTAGTACTGCCTGATGGGAGTTGAGAGCTGTTTCCCCTCTGGCCTTGTGATGCTGTGTAGATATACATCAAATCGTGCCCCATCATGGGGATCAGGCTTCCATCTGCTGAGATGGGCTGTGTGAGTCTTCCAGTGACAGAGTCAGCTTTTGAATGGAAGCTTTGGTGTCCAGCTACAGAAGTTCCATGTTGACAGACAGCAGGTAATGAATTCTGTTGTTACTTTAATACACTCATTGTGATAAACCAAAAATTGAATATTTTTTTTCTGGTTATGCTTCATATTGTGGTTGCTGCTGAGTGTGACAAAGCCAGTGAGCAAAGCAATACCTTCTATTATAAATAATAATATAGCTAAAAAAAAACAAGAAGAGGGAAAAAAAAAAAGGGGGAAAGTTAACCCCAAACGCTTAGATGATAAATACTGTCTGAGAACAATTCCAAATTCAACTTCTATTTTACCTTGAGTGTTGCTGGTTTTTCTTCTACATAAAAAAATGTCTTATATTCCTAAGGCTAGACTATTTTTTTTTTTTTTATAAATCCATATGTCATAGTCTAATGGGAAATATTACAAGCACTAAGATTAATCTCAGACAAAAATGGCTGCTGCACAGCATTGCCTATAAAATATCTAATGGAGATATTCTAAGGTACAACAGCATACATATTGAATGTAGAAATTTGTCTTTAAAATACTACAGATAAGACAAAATACAGCTGGATATTGCATTGATATCCATTAAGAACTGGAGAAGCCAGACATACCTTTCAAAAAACACCCTCAACCCCCAAAACCCCAAACAAACAAAACTTAAAAAAACCAAATATGCCTCCACAGGAATATAAATCACTGCAAAAAATGCATGTGAACAGGGAAGGAGGTATAACATCTTATGCAGTCAGGTAGCCTTATAATTTTTTCTAGACTTATATGGGAATAAGTCTGTTTTAAAGAAACAGCCTGACACTCTACTTCCAGCTTGTGAATGTTGTGCGAATCCTGCACCAGAGAAGGGAAATTTTGATCACCTATGCCTGGCTTGAAGTGATAGTTAAAACTGTCTATTCTGTAAAACAAATAATTGTTTGACATTAGACAAACTTTGTCAAGAAACTGCTGCTGGTTTTCCACCTTCACTAAGACATTTGAGAGAGGGAGCAGGGGAGAACAGATGCTGGTGACAGCCAGTATTTTGGCCCACTGACATGTACTTCACAAGATAAAAGTCTTAGAAATTACAGAAATTAAATCTCCCTCCACCCCATTTGGGAAAATAAAAACACCTATCTCCAGATGGTAAATCACTGAGCAGTGCAATTCTGCACCCCGTTCCCTCCTGACAGCACTGCTTATCAAAACCTGTGAGAAATGGAGGTGAACCTCTTTGTCTGTAAGCACTAGGAAGAGCTATGCTCTGCTAGCACTTACAGTGATGTGCAGTAATCACAGGATGGCACCACTGCAACCTCTGGAGTTACTCCTGAGTTAGACCAGAGCAACCAAGAGCAGGATTTGGCCTGATGTGTTTAAAGGGCTGTTTCTGGGACAGAAAGAATAATGATTTGTAAACTAAAAAAAGTGCTTCTCTTAGGTCAGACAGTGATTTCCACAGATGATGATGCCAAAAAAATAGAAATTTCTGGACAGAGCAGATCAGAAGCATAAACACATATGCTGAGTACAGAGGCAAGCAAATATTGTCTTTTAAAATCTTTAAGGATGGATTATTATATATCAAATAATAGTGATGAAACAATTATTGTAGAGAAGTAGTTTCTGAGCTGTAAAATATGACTACCTTTTGATTAAATATAAAAACAAAATAGAAGTAGGCAGTCTCTTCATTTGTATAAATACTGGACCATGATTTGATCCTATTTACCTATCTACAAATATCAAATAAGAATGTGTCATGCTTATTTACCCTCATAAATATGATTTTGGAAGCAGAACCAAACTAGCTCAACAATTATTAAATCCTCATTCAAGATTAATCAAATTAAATTATAAAATCTGTCTTTCATCCTGTCATCTCTTCTACCAAAGGACCATTGTTTGTGTTATCTTCACAAAATCTGGGATCAGAGATGAAGACCACACTACTTCAAAATGACTTTGATAGTTTTGTGTTGATGAAGTAACTAAGAGTAATATGCTGTGATTTTGGGTAATTTGACCGATAATTTTATGCCATATGTGTAAATAATGTCACTGCCTTATGTAGTATCTTTGAATCTAAACAATGATTAGAGAATCTTTGGATTAGAAGTGTTTTTAACCCTTTTCGTTAGGTAAAGGAAGACCAAAACCAAAAGGATTTGTAGCCATCACTATATGCAATAACTGTGGTTTCAGAGAAATGCTGAGTTGGAAAGGACTCCCAGATATCACTGAGTCCAACTCTAACCTGTCAGATTTTATCACAGAATTAATTAATTAATGGTAATTCTGAATTTTCCTGCCACTAACTAAAATTCAGAAGTCTCTAAACACCAGTATTTATGACCACTATCACAGACACGCAAAAAGTAAATATTTTAAAGGAATCTGGGGTAACTGACAGTTATTGCAGTGCAGTGGTATTTAGGAAATGACAACTTTAGAAATAGAATTGTCTATTAATCACATATGCAAGTGCTTAATTATTAACTGAACAAAACCAGCTAGGGCAGCACTGGAGTATGATTAACTGTTATGCATATAAATGTCTAATGAAAATATAGTGATAAATGTGATGTTGTTTATCCCCATTCAAAGACAAAACAAAGCAAAAATGTGTTACAGCTAAAGAAAACTGGGATGAAATGTTTTCAGAATTATACAAAGTAATATGTTTTTACAGATCACAATTTAATTCATCAATTCATCAATTTCTTTGCACAGGGAGGTTTGGTCATGACAATACATATCAGAGTATTTTACTCTGTTAAATTGTAGCTTAAACATGACATAAATGTAGAAAAATAGTGGTTTAAGGGACAGTTTTCCTTGTTTTGCTTCATACAAAAGATTGGTTTGTTTGTTGTTTTTTGTTCCTTGTAGACCACTATACCACTAGTTTAAAGGGCAAAAAGACCCTGCAATACCAAATTTCTTAAAATCTTTGATTTTATAAAGACAAGTCTCCCTTCCTTCAACTCTCATGTGGCATCAGTTGGGCCATCTAACTCCCTGTAAGTACAAATTCAAGCACATTGAGAAAACTCATTTGAGAGCTTAATCAGAACACAATTTGATTTTTACTGTTTGTAACAGCCCTTCAAAAATTATTTCAGCATATCCTAATGCCATTCAAGGGGCTGCAATTTTTGTTTTTATTGTCAAGCTGTAGTGATCTGGCAGCCTGAGACATGTCATTCTAATTATTTCAGGAACTTTGAGATCAGTTGCTCTACAGAATGTCTTAAAAATGTAAAGGCATAATTGGACTCAAAGACCCAGAACCCTTAAGACAAGTGAAAGTGACATTTTTTCTGATGTAACACCTTGTGAACATCCTTATCATCACAGGTAGTACTAGGCTGTTGAGTAGTTTAATTTACTAATAAGAAATAAAGGCAGGTGATTTTTAGCGTTTATTCACCACTTGCAAATAATATTTGTCTTCCATATCACATTGTATCATTTTGGATCCCTAGCTGGGTAAAAATCTTTAAAACCAATCAAAGAAATCAGAAGAAAAATAAAACTGCAAAAGTGATTACAGCTGAAAATATTAGCAGCTTTGGTGAACCCACATTCAATTCTCAATTTCATTAATTTCATACATTTTCTTTCACACAAATATGTGATTCAGCTTCACAGTACATCAAAGTCTGTATCACATATAGATCTTTAAACCAGGAATTCAATAGAATTTAAATGAGTCATATAGATGTAGATGTGCCTTTCTTTACTTTATATCACGCACAGTGACATAAAATAATGCATATACAAACAACTGTGTAGAAGGTTTTATTCCCTTTCCATTTTTATCTTTTTTCTTTAGGAAATCTATCTTATTGCCCATCTGATAAGAAAAAAAACCACTTACCAAATATTTTTAAAATTACTTCAGAATCCTTTTGAGGGTAAAAGCCTTCTGGAAACTTCTATGTGCAAATAGAACTCTCTGATTTAGCAAGAGTTTTTGTAAACAATAGTAGCTTCTTTTGTCACATTAAAAAAACATCAAAAGCTAGGACATAAAATGTCTTTTTTTAATTTTTTTTTTTTTATGTGTTGGCATGTGTTCTTTTCCAACACATAGCTCTCCTGTTTTGCCACACAATTTTCACACTTTTTCAATCTTATCTCTGATATTACAGAGCTGCATACTATTTTCAGCCCACACAGCTGCAGAAACTTTGCAAATATTTATGAAAAATGATAGTTACTGTTTACAATGAAGAAGGCTAAGGAATTAGATGAAGCAAGATTCTCAAGTTTCCCCTAGAAAACTTGAATGCTCAGATACAACAGACTCTGAAATGGAAGAAAGGGTCAAAATCACTTTTTGTTTGTTTGTTTCCACTTCTGACACACTGATGATCTGCTACTCAGTTTTTTATTTCAGTGGGAAGAGATACCAGTGTGTTTACATTTAGCAGGTAGGAAACTGGAGTCAAAGTCAAGCACAGGGAAATTAGGTTTTAGATCCCATTTCAACATCAAACAGAAAATATTTCATATCCAATCTCTGCAATGATTGGTAACAAGAAAGTTAAAATAGTTCTAAAGCATTCAGTGATCTAGAGAATTAACAGAATACTATTTTTCCATTCCTAGCCAGATACTCTTCTGTTTTTCTGTTGCTCTTTTCTGTTTGCTGTTATTATGACAATCTTTAAAAATATTTCCATTATGGAGTCTTAGCTTAAATTTATAAAACCCTGTAACTACTTCTCAAACAAATACTGTGCAGTCATATGGCTTATTAAAAATACTATCCTTTCAATCTAGTAAATTTTTTTTACAACCTTATATTCCTTTTTTTTTTAAATATATTTTTTTTTCTCTACAGTCAAAAGCAGGTAAGTAAACTGTACTGTCTAAGCTTTGTGCACACATAAAATTTTCTGTTTATTACTGGCAACATCTCTCCTTTTTATTGTTCTACGAGGCATCTGCTATGAGACAAGTATTATCCTTACTTACCCTCTCAGTAATTCATATATTTTTGGCAAATTTCTGCCAAAGACAGATGAAGATGCACAAGAACTTGCTGCAGCTTCTAGTAGCCACTGTGCATGCAGCAGCAGAGCATACCTGGGAGCATCGTCAGCATGTGGCTCACAAAAGGCAGTCTGTGTCCTGTATCCCCCAGGATAAAAGCACCCCTGCAAAGCACCCCTGCCTGTTTTAAGACCCAATCACACAGGGTGGCTTATGTCTGTGAAGAAGCTGTCTACTTGTGTTATAATCCACACTCTCACATCAAGGTCATCTCCGTTGTAGGACATTCTGCCCCTCACTTGGTCTGTAAGTATAAAGAGAAAAAAACCCATTAGACTACTATAAAAAAGCTTAAACATCATAAACAGGATCTTCTGTTCTCCATATTGCACAAGCAAACAATATCATGTTCAAAGCCAGTGACAGCAAAAATTTAATTTACTTTTCATGCTAGCCGAGTGTTTAAAAAAATACAGCTACGTCCACAAATTAGATAGGAAGTTTATTCTTTTATGACTCTGAATAACTCTTAATCTGGAGGTCCACTCAGAGAAAATACACAAATCTTGAATCCCTATCCTTCCTTCTGCAAAATGTTCAATGATAAGTGGGCAAAATTCTTGAGAATTGGCTTTCCTGTGACATTCATATTATCATAATAGAAACACAAATCTTAGAAAAGCTTTTCATGAAAATAATTGTTACCTTTAAGACAGGTAGAGTGAAAACAATCACATACACACACACATATATATATGTATGCATATATATTTTTTAGGTTTATAAAATATCTGGTTGAAGTCATAGAAAGTTGCATTAGATCTAGCACACCTAATAATCTAGTGCATTTATGTGGCTCTTGTTAACACATTTCTTTCTGAAAGGAATTTCATTACTAGATGAATTTTTACTATTTTCTTACTTTTGAAACATAATAGTTGGATCGTACATCGCTGTGGCATTCTACTCAGGATTTGGGTCCCATAAGTTCAGAAGCTGCTATAGTAAATGACAACCATTACCCTCTCATAATTAAAAGTGGCAACTTTCACCTTATATAACAATAAAACTACAACATCTTCAATAGAGAAACTGTCTCTGATTATGTGTTTTACACAACTCTGAGGAAAACAAACCCTTCACCTTCCTTGGCCATCAGAATCATACTGTAATACAAATGCTCAATTATTAATGTTAGTGTGGGCAATAATATTCTGAAAAGATGCTCCAAATTGACTCATAATTGACTGATACTTCATTTCTGATGTGAATATCTGAAGCAGATTTCAATCCCTTGGCAAAAGACTGTTTAAAAGTCCAGACAGAAAAAAAACTAAGAAAAAAATGCAGGTTTTGTCTGCACCAGTAAATTAAGCCATGATATGAAATGTTCCAAGTATCATAATTGAATGTATTTTTCAAATGGTAGTATGCTGGCAGGTACTCAGCATGGGTCAACCATCAGTCTCTCAAGCAATCCCTTGCTGCCGTTATGGAGTTTGAAATCCATCCTGATTAAGTGGGAACTTCTTTTGCAGTCTAGGAGGATTTAATAATTCAGATTCAAACCTTTTTGCACCAGTTGGGCTCAGTGCCAGCAAACACTCCCCAGCGCTGTTTCACTTTGGTGTCAGAGATGTTGCCACAGTGACCAGACATCACAGTATTTTTGCTTACAGTGTTACCAACAATAGAGTCATCTGTCAGGGCTCTGGAATGTGCTCATCATTTTGTTTAACTGATTTATATTTCAGTGAAAACTGTTTGGTGTCTTCAACTGTGTCTGTTCCTGTACATGGCCAGATTGCAAACAGCAGGGAAAAAACCCCATCATCCATAAGCAAGCATTTAATTTCTTGGCTGAAAATTTTACACAGGAGAGAGATCTCTAGTTTGTATGCTAGTAAATGCATTTACAGCTGAGACACCATTGCAAAATAGACTGCCAGTTATGAGAATAACTTTGCACATGGCTGAACAAGTCCAATCCACTTGCATTCAAATTATCTAAAAAGAATGATCCCATTTCTGATATTCTTCAGTTTACACTTGTTATTCTGTGCATAGAGGTTCAGATCACCATAAATTCATGTCAGTTGTTGTACCATCTAAGCAGGGTTTTTTCAGGTTTTTCTTTTAGCACAGAATTTTTTTCAGATTTTTTCCTGATTACTCTACTATTGAATAAAGAAATAATAAGCAAAAGTGGTGGCTGAATCTCCAAAGCTGTATGTTTTGGCTCACAGAACACTGTCCTCTATCAAAATAATAATTTGGAAATGGCTGGCTAGAAGTCAGGAATATCTATTTGGAGCTTCTCTGAAGTATCCTAGTGAGTGGGGGAGAGATCTCAGGCTCCAGGATTTTATCTTGGCATACCAAACAGTGAAGGTAGAGAACCCCAAGAGTGTTTGAAAGAGGCCAAAGAGAAGGTAAGCTACAAAGTCTATTTTGTGATTACCATATTGGGTGAGTTTTTTGGGGGAATTCTCTCTTTATGCCAGACCACTTCCAACACAACAAAACCAATTCTTACTCTTTCTGTGTTTCACCTATGCAAACTGGAACTTCTTTTCTACACTATCTGTACAAGTTTTTTGAATACTAAAATGGGAAACCCCTCCAGGCAAAAGCTGAGCCTCAACACAGCATGTACAGCTCCCAGTACAGCTGACTCTGACCTACACTAACAGCACATGCAGTGCAAAAGAACTCAGATATTATGTGATCTGACATGGAGGCTAAAGCTCAGGTATTACTTATTTAAACTGAATAACTCATGCATGACAAAGGAAAACCTTTTGGCTTAAGAATAAAGTTTCAATCATAATTAAAAGTGCTAGCTTACTTCTTGTGTTTGTCCTTAACTCTTTCCTGACAAAGATTTTAAGACTTCTTTTTCTAAGGATGTTTAAGTAGAACTTTATATCAGAAGTAAAATTAACACTGCAGATTTTAGCCACTTATGCAATGTAAACAACGGGAGTAAGTGAAAATATCTCCTTTCTCTTGGATAGATTAGTAAATGAATGGCAAAGGAAATCTACTGCCAGTCACCAGATGGTGCAGTTGCTAACAGTCCTACAACTTTCGTTTAACTGTATGTATTGTTAAATCTTAGGGAAAACGTACTTCGTTGGTTATGCATATTTTTGTTATAGAAGATACTGCATTTTATGAGCAATTACTCTAATTGGAACAGTTTCCTAAGTGCATATGTTATTGTAATAACAGTAAGAAAATACGTTGCTTGATATGAGAGTTTCTGAGAAATAACCTCAAAAAAGGACTGTTATTTTGAAGCTGGGAACTTATATCCATAGCTTCATAATTCATGCACCTCATGTTCACTAGTAATGTCATTCCACACAGTAATATTGCACAGTTTAATATATTCAGTAGGAAGACTTTATTCAATATCTTTAGGTCAGAGAAGGAAAGCTCAGCTAGAATGTAACATTACTTTATAGCCGTCTTTTATTACTGGAAATAAAGTTATTATAATCCCTATATATAAAGTAATAACTTTAGGAATAAATACTTAATATTACCAATGTGGCAAAATATTTGGGAAAGAGGCTACCCAAACCACAGACGCTGTTGAGATAGAAATTTTGATGATATTGAAACTATTCACCAAATTCAGTCAGAATTTAAAATTCTAATTCATAAGATTTAATCCCTACAATACTAGCTCTATATATGAACAAAACCAGTGCCATTGCAGTATAAAAATGTGTGCTAAAACCCAATGTTCCTGTAATGCAAGTTCAAACTACTCCTCTGCATCCACTGAACTTGATATCACAAATAATACGACCGTAATATGTACTTGTAAGGCAAAAAATAATTTTCTTATAATATTGGCTTTTTACATTCATGGGACAAAAAGAACATTCCAAAGTTGACTTATCTTGGAGATACAGTGTTTCCTTATTAGTAAGGGAGTATCTATGTAAGTATGCATGCACACTCAAATACACTTTGAACACAGATTCTTAGCCAAGAAAAGAAATTACGGCTCTCAATGAAGTAAAAGAGAAATAGTCTACAAATATACAAGGCCAGAACATCAACTGCAGTAAATAAAATGACTTATGCCCTAGTTTGGAAGGAACATAAAGTACATGACTTTTGATTTAATAATCAAGGATCCACAACTTACAGAGGCTGTAATACTTTAGTCAAAGCAAAAACGCAAGCCTACAAGGGTGGCTGAGGTACCCTTACATTGCCATAAAGAAGGGAAAAAAAAAACAACAACAACACAACAAACAAACAAAACCAAGAAACTTTAATTGTTCTGACCTTGAAACCCTGCTAAGTTTGTTCTTCTCCTTTCTCTGTGAAGGCAAATGGTCAGAGACTGCTCAAACAAATTCTTTTCTATGGGTTAGGAAATTTCCAAATTTATAATTGCACAAGTCAGTGGGGGAAGAGAAGTAAAGGAGCTCTGTTGAATCTAGGTCACTTGAGGAGCCTAACATTCTGTTTTTAGTCTAATTTAACTTTACAATTGCTTTAGAGTGCTGAAGACTGGAAAGCAGTCAATGGTGTGTAGGAACTAATTTAAAGCCAGTAAATACATTACCCTATTGCAACAGTGGAAGGATTATAAATGGAAAATAAATAAAATGACAGATTATTACTTGTCTCAAATTTGCTGTACTGTTTTTCTTCCAGAAATATTTGTCAGTGATACAGTCAAAACTTTAAAAGAAATGCACCTATGTGTCAGTAT